CTTCAGCACCGGCGCCCTCTGGTGGTCTGTAACATCACAAAGTGAAGATATTGCCACTCCAGGCACCGAAAAGACAATTTTAAGGCTTTTTGAGGCCTTTTCTTTAGACATGGGAGCTGCATTGGGCAGTCTGATAGCAGGGTTTGTGGTGCAAAAGTTTGGGGTCAATGTGCTTTTTCAAGGCGCATCGGTCATGCTGGCTGTGTGGAGTAGCGCTCTCGCTGTGCTGAAGTGGAAGATCCCTCGACAGCGCAGAATAAACTACTCACGACTGCTGGCTGCTGACACTGAAGTGAGCGAGTCGGAGTCTGACCAGGAGAAAGACTGGCTGGAGACGGCAATGGAAGATGATAGAAGGAATAACAAGTGGACAGTAAATAAGTCTTAATAGAAATGAAGAGTGGCTGGTTAACTGCTTTAGAAGGCAAATTAAAGCTAAAAGAGAAATATTACACTGAAATGTTGCCAATGTTTCTTACTCTGTACTATTCGTTCCGATCATCTATATAAACATTCTTCCATTAAAATACTGTGTGGAAGGGCTTAATGGGAAAGTTTACCCAAAAATGTAAATTCTGTCATGGCCCTTCACTAGTTATGAACCTGTTTGAGTTTCTTTCTTTTGTTAAACACAAAAGAATTTTTGTTTGACCATTGCCTTCTTTAGTATTTGCTTTTTTTTGTTCAACAGAAAGAAGAAAACCATTAACATTTTAAAACCAGTGAGGAGTCAGTAAATGAATACAATAATCTCATTGTTGGGTGAACTATCCCTTTAAGCTTTGGTAACATGCCTGAAAATTAAGTTGCCTAAAATTAAAAGTCAGTAGTAAATGGGGTTAGAAAAAAAAAAAAGTCTCACCCTTAATGTCTGGTTGGTGTTCTTGTAAGCAACCTGTTCTGCTGGATTGGAAGTACAGTGGAGTTTTAGTCGTACACAGTACTCATGATTCTAACCCAGGGATGGGCAAACTTGGTCCTCGAGGGTCGGTGTCCCTGCAGAGTTTTGTTCTAACACTAGTCAAACACACCTGAACAAACTAATCAGTGTCTTCAAGATCACTAGAAATCTATAAGCAGGTGTGTTTGATTAGAGTTGGAGCTAAATTGTGCAGGACACCGGCCCTCCAGGACCGAGTGTGCCCACCCCTGTTCTAACCATACCATCTATCTCCAAAAATGCAGGCGATACTTTGTGCAGTCACTGTTATTTTGAGCTCAGCGGTGTCAGATTTTCTTTATGGCTGATGCAGTCATTGGGGTTAGAAAAAAATGTGAAAAACAAAAATCTCTTATCTTAAGTCATTCTCCCTCTCTAGTGTCTTGATTTAGAAATACTTGGAATGGATAACAAGACAAAAATGACATAAGAAACCATTTATTGCTGTGTAGGACTTTGAGAGTGCTTCATGTTTTCATTAATATTCTTTATAATAGCCATCATGGATAAAGATATGTCATTTAATTATTCTCTTGTGCCAGATAAATCTCTATCTGGGACCATTATCTGGGATTTTGGAGAGGTATTAACTCTAATACCAGTATACTTGAATATCCTCAAATGTACATTATGTGCATTGTTTTATAGGTTAGCCGTTTTGTTAACTGAAGGACTATGACTGGAGATGAGCCAATCTGGTTTGTTTGCTTATAGTAAACATGTCTACTCTGCCAAGCAGCAATAATCATGTGAGCAAACAATGCCTATTGTTTCTAACATCTTCACACCCCTTCTCTAACCCACATTGTTATGTTATTATATGTTGTACTATAAAAAAAGGGGTTTTTATTTATTGTGTGTGAGGTACTCATGTTTTGTAGAGTTCATCTTGATGTCAGTTTTACAGGAATGGGTTTATTGAGGATATACTAAAAGTATCACATTTCCAGTGTTGGAAACAAGAAGCTTGTATGAGATGTGAAGTTTGCCAAACCTGTATTGAAAACTTCCCAAACTTGTTCTTGAGTAAATTTGTTATTGTGGAAAAGATTGTAGAGTGCTCCGTATGTGGCTGACAAATCTTTTTTTGTATGTGGAGGATATGAAGGGTAGGAAAAAATATTCTTAACATTTCATATGAAGCCAAGAACATCCATTAAACGATCATTTCTCCTTTCAACAAAAAGTCAAGTGTTCATTTAGTCTACAATGTATTTTTATTCTTCATCATCACAAGAAGTGGTGTACAGTACTTTGCCCCTGTTGATCAAGCATTAATCATTTTATGACATGAGTTTGCAATGTTGACATTTGATGGCATAGCAATGGGTCATGTCACTTGTTTTCTGACTTGAATCTAACAGTGTTGACATTAGAGTCAGGTCACACAGAAAAGCTGTGTAAAAAGTGCTTTCTTAAAAGCTTAAAATACATAATCAGTCAATGGAATCAGACATTTAATGGTTCAGCAATAGTAACACTTCAAACCATAACACTTCTTTAAACTGAAACTCAACCCATGCAAACGTTTGAGCCTCATTCACATTGGTAAACTGTAGTATATTTAATGAAATCCAAAAATGAAACTTTCTTCAATGGTTACTCATTCTCAAGTGGTTTCGAATGTCTTTACATTTCTTATCTTGAACACTGTATGTTGTAAACCAGCAGCCATTGGCCTCTAGGAACAAAAATACTGTACAAAAAGAATAACTTTAAGTAATCACCTCAAAAATGTTTGGATTAAATGAAGGTTGAGTAAATAAAGGTGAACTATCCCTTTTAGTGGTTCCAAACCTGTATTGACTTTCTTCTGTTGAACACAAAAGAAGATTATTTGAAGAGTGGTAACCAAGCATTTGACTTCCTTTTTCTTACTACAGAAGTCAATAGTTAACATGTTTGCTTACCAACATTCTTCAAAATATCACCTTTTGTTCAACAGAGCTTTAAATGGTTTGGAACAAGTGGAGACAATACAATTTTTTTCTCTGTATATTTATGCTGTCTAGTATGAACCACATGATTTACCATTCAAATTATTTTAAGCACATGCTCATGTTATCAGATTGAAACATGTTTTGCATTAGTCTGCAATGATAAAACACTTCTAAACGCTTGTACTTTATGGTGGATTTCTTTTGCAGTCTAGGACTGTTTAACATTGCCAGTCTTGAAGCTTTATTGAACATGCTAATGTATATTTGTTTCAGTAGCTGTCTGTTTTTTTACTCAGTAAATTGACCCTACAATGGTACCCAAAGGCTGAGAATGGCACACATTTTAAAGGTAGGAACAGAGTCGTTAGACTTCACAAATTTTCAGTGTTTTGTTTATTTTTGTTTTGTACAAAATAGAAAACAACCAAAATACCACACAGCAAAATTTGCAACATTGACCCAAAAGGTTAACAGCTAAGGCCATATTAAAAGTTTTTTTTTTTTTTTTCTGTGGTAATTGTTGCCTTTCGCTTCATAAGCAATATTGTTATTCCTGACTGCTAATTAAAATATTTTGATTAGGATTTTAATCCATGAGCAAATTATATTTGAGGTCTTCATTGGCCTAAATTTTGAAAAATTCTTGTCAAATTCAGTTATAATTGAATTAAGTCAATTACAAATGTAGTATTTTTTAAATAGAGGGCCCATCATATATGTATTTATGAACAGTGAAGCTTTCTTTGATTTGATTGGTCTCAGTCACATTGAAATTATTTGAACTTGCTAGCAGATCAACCTCTTACAATTTTAACCTAAAATATATCGACAACAAACATGGCCGCATCAATAGGCTATCCAGATGTACAGAACAAAACATAAGGTTACACTTTGGCATATTAAAAAACACAAAAGTTGGTGGATATTTGAGGCTGTGTGTTTGTTTTAACGCAATTCCCTCATGACAAAATACTTTAGTAAGGTGTAGTTAAATTTAGTTTTTAACCTTAGCCTGACCTGATTACACTGTATAGTTTTTACAATACTTTTTAAATTACAGCATACTGTAGTATTAACTGAAGTGAACCGAAAATCTAGTAAATACTGTAGTAAAATTTGGTTCAGCATTTTTTGTAATGTAATAAACCAAATAGAAAACTATCAAAGTTTTTTTTTTTTTTTAATCTGTGGTTCTTGGTAATTTAAGCTGCTTTGAGAGTAAAAAACAAAACAAATTTTTAAACCTATATTTTGATAATACACTGAATACTTATGAAGTTGTTTTATTGGTCTAAAATATATAAATAAAAATAACAGACCAATCATTTACCTGTGATCCGCAGGCGGAAAGACCTCATAAGACATCACTAGAGTATTAGAAAACATCTCTAAATCTGTAACCAAACAGTTATAAAAATGTTATTGGGTTATTTGTTTAGAGTCACCACACAATTTACTATAGCAGGGTGGTTCAAAAGCAGTGGTTATACTATAGACCATTTAAATGTGGTCATGTCATTGACCCATGAACATTTCCTGCTTGTTACCATATTTCATTACTGTAACAAGAGGCAATTCAATCATAACTTAATGTTAAACTGCTGATATGATAGCTATCATAACATTGTTTATCAATATGTTGAACTTTTTGGACTCTCGTAAGCTATGGAAATTTAAAAAATGTAAAACAGGAAATAAATTAGGACCATTGTTATTGTTTACATCTCTCATAATGGTCTATAAGTTAGCTACTGTGATGTTTTTATGTATTTAAAACGTGGTCGTCTTTAAAACAAACGAATTAATTTACTAAAAATGTAATTTTGAAGGCAGATTTAATATTCATTTCATGTCGTTTTTCTGTTTTTTCACAGGGTGGCGCTTTCAGGTAACGTGAGCACACTTGTGTTGAGCATCATTACAATAATGTGTCACACACTCGCAGCATCACCGAGGACATGGAGTTTAAAAGCTCCGTCCGTCAAACCGCGCTTTAATTCACCGGCAGAGGAGCGAAGCAGCCACAGTCTCCTCCGGCTCAAACTTAAAGTGTCCTGTGCAGCCACACAGCATGGAAAAAGGACGAAGCACCCCGAAACAGTACGGATCCCTAGATCAAACGGAGCTCTGCGAAGACACTGGCAAACAAGGTGAGAATGTTGTGGTAAAATTCGTAGCGTTTTTGAAGCTATATTTGACTTCAATTTGACGTGTGAGCGTGTGACTGGATGCAGTTCTGTTTAACACTGTCAAGTCGATGAGAAATGTTAAGGTTGTTGCTTCAGTCCACAGAGCAAATCCCTCATGTAAAGCGGTTATTTCAATTAATTCAGTCTGTTGAAAGAATAGCTGATGCATTTTTTCTACTTGCTATTAATATTCTAATTCAGTCCAATAACTATTAAAAGTATAGCCTCACTCTTTTGAACAAACCGTGAAACGTTTTTTCATGCAGTATATAAAATTGTTGTTTTTATTATTAGTTTAAACTTAAAGATAATTCTACTTTCATTATTAGCTATATGCTAAAAATAGCAAGACTGCAGTTGTTTCTTATGGGTGACGTGACTAATTCTGCCTAAAGAAATCCCAACAACAAACAGACCTCATGGAGCTCACAAGATGAGATTAATTATCAATAAATACAGGTTTGTGGGTAGCGGTCAGCCAAGTTATTCCTTTATAACAGGGGTGTCAAACTCAGTCTCTGGAGGGCCGCAACCCTGCAGAGTTTAGTTTCTGTCCTGCGTCAACACACCTGTCTGTAGGTATCAAACAAGCTTAAAGCACTCAATTAGTTAGATCAGGTGTGTATAATTAGGGTTGGAACTAAACTGTGAAGAGCTTTGGCCCTCCAGAAACACCAGAAACAAAGTTTGACACCTGTGCTTCACAGGGTTCATCAAAAATACAAAATGATTTACCAACATGTAGATACAATTTTCCTTCAGTATTAAATAATTTTGTTGAATCTGAGGTCCTTGATGACTTAAGCTGCTTTGAGAGCCAAAAAAGCTGTTTACAGGCAAAACAAAAGTATAGCCTACAGTCTGATGATCTAAGAGTCTAAAAAAACAACATACACCAAACATTTACCTGTAATCCACAGCCTCAAGAAAAACCTCAAACGACATCACTAGTGTATCATCAGGAACCATGGGTATTAATTTAGTTTTGCCTAGATTTGTTTTTGACTCTGAAAGTATAAGTGTAGGCAGGCTTGCGCTTTATAACTAACCAAAATCACTATTATAAAGAATAAAAATTCTTTAAGCAATCCCCCTTCACAAATGTTTCTATACAATATATTATTTCCAACACAGGCCAGTGGAAAAATGTGCCCAGGGATACATTTCTGTGAACCGAGAATTATGTGCCTCGGGGTACATAATGGCTACATATTGTGTGTAAGAATGAATGCTACCAGGTGGACCTTCTAATGCTGTATTCACACCAGACACAGAGGAAGCATCAAGCACAAGTGATTTACATGTTAGGTCAATGCAAAGGCGCCAATAGACATCCTGCGGCATGATAATCGCAAATGAGGCGGCGCGAATGATGCGATTTGCGTGAATGAAGCAGCGTGGGTTGCGTGTTTTGCATGAATCACTCGAGTTCGAAAATCTGAACTTCAGCGGACATTTGCGTTGCGTTAACCAATCAGAAGCTTTCTCTTGTAGGAGCATGCTTATAACATAGCGCCAGTTGTTGGTGTGCTGGGGGGAAATCCTCAAAGCAGATTTGATGCTGAAATGAAAGGGTTTGAACTCAAAATGTTCATACGTCTATTTGTATGAACACACAGCATCACAGCTTAACTCCGCATGGATGGCTTTTTCAAAATGACTGGTTTGCTCGGTAGCTTGCAGTAAACACCATGACTTGGGAGATGGAGTGAAGCAAACTGGGATTTGAGTCCGGCAAAGAATGGTTCCATAAACCAGGTAAAATGAAACCCAAAAAAAGAGCAGTCTGATGCCATGGTAAAAGCATATTGCCGCAAAAGCTTTTCACTTCTAGTTTGTTTTAGAAAACACTATTGGTTAGGTTTAGGGAAATTAGTGTGGGTCAGTCGATATCAAGTTGATATGTTAGGCATAATAAAAATCCAACCGACTCTCTGAAGAACGCATGCCAGAAGAACGTTGAGAGATGGCCAGAAACCTATACAGCAACCTCTGTTGAATTTACAAAAAATAGCACATATGAGAAAATGTGCCCTTTGTATCGTATTTGAAATTGTCAAAAATGTACACAATGTCCTCTTGTGGATTTGTGAACACAAAAACTGCATGAAAATGTTGTCCAGGGTACATATTTCTTGTTTCTAAAAAATGTAGCCCTGGACACATACTTCCAATGAGACTCGGTTGGTTACTTCAGTAGTTGTAACTAAGATAACAGACTTGTGTCTATTGATCTTCTAGTAATTTTAGGATTAACTGTTTGGTCACAGTATAGTGTAATCTGTTTACTTGGGGTGTGCTTAGTTTATTTAACTAAACACTGAGTAAAATTGAGTGATTATAAAAGTGATGAAAGACAAAAGACGCTGAAATCAAATGAAAATTTATACATTTATTACATTTCTGTGTAGAGTTTGCATGTTCCGCTTGTGTTGTGTTGGTGTGGGTTTCCTCCGAGTGCTCCCCAACAGTCCACAGACATGCAGTATAAGTGAATTGAACTAAACTGGCTGCAGTGTTTGAGTGAGTGTGTAAATGTGAGAGTGTATAGTTGGTGGTTCATTCAATTCAATTCAGCTTTATTTGTATAGCGCTTTTACAATGTAGATTGTGTCAAAGCAACTTCACATAAATGGTCATAGTAACTGAAACAGTGTAGTTCAGTTTTTAGTGTTTAAGTTCAGTTCAGTTCAGTTTAGCTCAGTTCAGTGTGATTCCACTGTTGCAATCCCTGATTATCGGGTACTAAGCTGACTTAAAATTAATGAATTTATTATTTTAACAACATTAATTTGTCCTTGTGATCTTTACTCGAAATAACTTTTTCAGCAACATCTCTAATAAGGTGTTTTGCTGCAAGGGTGAGACGACCTGTCAATCACATGAGATTGACCAAAAGCAAACCTTAAAATCAACAATACCTGATGATCAAAATCTACACCCACCCAACATAAGTCACAAAAAGAAGAGACTATTGCAGTTAATGTTTTATGACAACTTCAAGGGGATTGTGCACAGATATTCAACCTAAAAACTAAATAGTTCATAATAGGAATTAAACTGTCTCTTTTTTCACACAGAGGCTTTCAAAACTCACAAATAACAGAAAGAAAACATGAACTGAAGCCATTATTGACTATAATGTTCTTGCGTGGACTGTGTGAACCAGTCTACTGTATGAGTTGAACTTAAGAACTGAACAGTCCATTTTGTGAACACATTGGAAATAGTCAAGATAGTGTTTGTGTCCCACATAAAAGAGATATTCTTTTACAGATGGCACTTCTAATATGTATGATGATGCCAAGAACAACCATTCTGTTAATGTCCCTTCATTATATTTTTCATCACAGGGTGCAAGATGGCAAGTTTAGATCATGCAATTAAACCAGTAACAGAAACATTCAGCTTCATTATCAGAAAAAAAAACTGTTCTGCACATGGCAATATGCCACAGAAAACAGCCTTGTGGATTCTTAAGTCAGTGTGCAGCGCTCGAGATTTTTATGCAAAGCGGCTGAGCAAATTGAAAACTGTCTTTGTGATGCAGCTTTTCTGCATGACATAACTGAATATCTGAGTACATTGAATAAGAATAAGAGAAGCCAGAGGAGGTTCATCGCAGATGGACAAGTCTGTTAAAGGCTTTTGGTTTAGTCTAAGTTCGTCTGAAGAGTCTCAACTGTTAGATCAAACAATAGTACATGGTTTATGTAAGACAATTTCAAAAACAAACCCGAATCACTTTATTTAATGCATCTATATTGAAGTTTATTTCATCAAGATGTTTTGTCTTCTGTCATACTTGCATTGTCCATTCTTTGCAAGCTAAAGAGATGTTGCAAGACTCCCTTCAGTCACTTCAACTTTCACTGCTGAAGTTGAAGTTGGCTTTAAATGCAAAAAAAAAAAAACCTAAATGTATGGTTTTTAATCACAGTTGTCCAAAAATCTCACCAATCTTAACCCTGGAGGGGGATTGTATGGAAAAAGTAAACAGTGTTACATATTTATACATACGGCTTGATGAACGGTTGGGTTTTAATATTCATATTGAAAATCTCAAAAAGAAGCTCAGTCCTAGATTGGGTTTTCTTTTTCTATCGAAGCAAGAGAAAGAATTATCCAAAGCCCGATTCTTTTCGGTGATAAAGTATATGGAGATGTAGTTTATATGCATGCAAACATTATTTAAAAAGCTGGACAGTGTTTATCATGCTGCAATATGATTCGTGACGAATGCATCTTCACTTATACCCATCGTTGTACTTTGTACAAAATGGGTGGATGGTTTTCCCTGCATCTAAGAACAAAAGTGCATATGCTTCTATTTACCACTAGGGCATTATTGGGAAAATTACCGTCTTATATTTGTAACCTTTTATCATATTATACTTGTAGTTATAGTACATAAAATTCTTATGAATAACATTTAACTGTTCATGGAGTGTGTACAGAGTTTGGCAAAACAGGGTTTTTCTCCTTTGCCCCCACAGTACATTGCAGAATGAAATGCAGGGTGTTATCATGTTAAAAAAATTCCATCTCTAAATATTTTTAAAAATAGTTTGAAGTCTTACCTGGAAGAATCATATGAATGTTTTGTGTATGTTTTAATACATGATATTTTTTGCATGCCTAATTTTGTATATGAAACTTTTTTTGTGCTGCCATTTTGGCCAGGACCGCATGGTAAAAGAGATGCATATCTCAATGGGAAATTCCTGGTGAATTAAAGGATAAATAAAATTCTTACAATTGCTGCTAAACATTTTTTGCTTTTCAACATTGTCATTTTTTTAATGCTTTCAAAATAGTTTGTCATGATTCATTCTAAAAGTGAATCATTTTAATATTGTTTTCTGAAATATGTTAATATTGACACTTCATTACAGGCTGTTAGCATGCTACGCTTGTGAGAAATCTGAATTAAAGCAATCTTAGAGAAAGAGAAAACATCA